TAGATGGAAATTTTTCAAGCAGCTACAGACAGGGTATTGATGTGAGAAAGGCAGTGGCAGAGCTGCAGGCAGGAATAGGAAATGTGTGTTTGGAGAGTTGGGGAAGTTCTGCTCTGCTTGTGGTTTTGTTGGTGTTATAGGTGAAGCGCAGCGGTTTGGCCTCTCCATGTTTTTAGGGGTTTTGGGGATGTCTAGAGTGGAGACATCCTGTTGTATCGCAGAGGTTGGTTTTCTGTGATAACATGAAGGTTTACAAACCCTGATACGTAACGTGTGTGTCCGAGTCTCTTCAGGAAAGCCACGGGCAATGTTTTTTTTAAGGCACGCGTGTACTTCGAGACCCTGCCCACAAAAGTACATGAGCTCTTCATTTCCATTAAAAAATGTTTGCCTAAATACCTTCTGAGGGTCTGGGTTTTGCCAGCTGGTATCTAGGTCTTATCTGTTCCTCCAGGCATTTAGATATCTTTAAGCTGCCTGGCTCTCAGTTCCCAGTGGCTTCAGAGGAGAGTAGGGATGTGCCTGCTGGCTTTCCTAAATAGAGATGCTTTCCTGGACGAGGGCTAGATCAGTGTTCTTGGTGTGGCTTTTACGGATTACCTACAGCTCTGACAACCCCCTTCCCCCAATTTCCATCACTGTCTTATTTATGGGGAAATTGAGTCCAGGCATATGAAAATCATTTTTCATTTTTATCAGTTTGGCTGCAAAACTCAATCTGCTCCTATGCGAGGGCTGGTGCAAATTCAGTGCTGCTCATAGGCAGCTCTTGGTCAAGAGGTGAAATGAGGGGCTTGAGGCTGGATTACTGCATAGAATCTTAGAATATCTCATGTTGGAAGGGACCCACAAGGATCAATGAGCCCCACTCCCTGCACCCCTCAGGACTAGCTAAAACTGGTGTGCTCCATCCTGCTGGATGGGACCTGATGTGTTTTTCAGGTGGTCTGGAGAGTGTTTTGGGATCTACGTGAGCTGAGATCACCCATGGGGTTTTAAGCAATGTGTTTCCCTGTGTCAGGCTAAGTCTGCAGAGGAAGTTTTGGAGATCTGCTTTAACTAGTGTTGATTAATGCCAGGATGATGGTAAGGAGGGTATGTGTGTCCCTGCCATGTGGAGGGAGGGTGCCAGCACCTTGGTGTGGGCCTGGCAGAGGTGACTCTGGAGATGCATGAGGAGGCAGATGTTGCTTGCCAACACAACCAGACTGGTACACTGGTCAAACCTCACCCTTCAAAACTCCTTTCTCCACCCCAGAAGGCTTGACTTGTGGCAAAATGAATACTTCCACATAAAATGTCAGGCCTCTTTTTGAAAAAAGCTCCAGTTTTAACTGAAAAACCCAAAAGAACCAAACCAGAAATGAAAATATTTGGGCTGGAAAACATTAGTTTCCCAGAAATTTAAAAAAAAAAAAAAAACCAGGCTGAATTGTTTTGCTTCCCAGGTTTGTTTTTTTTTCCCCTGGGAAACCATCTACCCTTCATTTGACAGAGGAAGAAAGAGACAGGCAAAATAAATCCATGGCGATCTCAGCCAAGCTGATCTGGGGGGGATATTCCTTCCTGACCTTAAAATCAGACATCTGATGCTCACCCAGACATCTGATGCTCACCCCAGGGTGCTCACCCAGCTACTGGGGTGGTTTTGCAGCACCCCAGGACTCCACCAAAGTCCTTTAACCACCTTAGCTGTGAGGGAGAAGGGAGAAGATGGATTGGAAGTCATCTCCTCAGGATCAAAGTCACTTCAGGCTTAAGAAGCAGGGATTAAAGTTTTACCCATGGCTGTCCTGGTGTGGGTTTGTTGCTGACCACGCTGTGGCTCTTTCTTGCTCTGATAACCCAGTGAGGAGGAAGGGTCCTGGTTTCTTCCTCAGCTCTTCTAGTGGAGATATAAAAGGCAACTCCCTTGGTTTGCTTCTCCCCTTGTCTATGGTTGAATAACTGTTGATGTTGTTTGCTAAACAAGAGCGCCGGTGGCAGAGGAATTAGAAGAAATCCCTTCTTAATTGGAAACAGTGAGTCTGTGTATTTTTTCAGTTGTCTATTTTGGGCCTTGTAAAATTAAAGTTATTAACTGTAATGCAGCGGTTTCCAGATTCCCACAGCCCTTTACAATAGCAGGGAAATTCATCCCAGGTCACTGGGAGCCTTTAATGAATACATTAAGGCTTATTATTAAAATAAAGTACTTGCAGCTTTATGGGAGACATCTGGCAAGGATGCTTGTCTCTCTTGAAGGCTCCCTGAGTGTCCTCTCCCAGCATGCACCACGTTTGTCCCAGCAGAGGCTTTCAGGAGCTGTTCCCCACACAAGGATTCCCACAGGAGGCTCTGGGAGACAGAGAGGGCCTCTGCTGTATGTGATGGAGGGTGGTTGGGCGCCAGACCTGCCCCTGTGATCGCTCCACTGATGTTTCTGGAGCCGACCAGCCCCTTGCTGGTGCTGCAGGTACCGGTGTGAGCCCCGCTGGGATGCTCCAGCTCAGCAGAGCAGATGCACCAGGGTAAAACTGCTTCATTCACCAGGGTGATGTGCAGGCTGAGCCGAGTCTGGGCTAATCCCAGGCAGGGGACGAAGAGACTGGGCAGAACCAGCTGACCTGGCACAGGCAGGGTCAGCTTGGAGCCAGCTGCTGGCCAGCTGTGCTGGTGAAAGCACTGAGCCAGCAGGGTGCTGCAGCTGATAAGGGACTTCCTATCGCCTCCGGTGAGCTCACTGGTGTGGCTGCACCCATGCAGCGCTGTGTAGTTACATCATAAACCAACTCCTTGGTGCTGCACAGAAAGCTGGGAGCCAAATCCTTGGGGTTTAGGGCCAGAAAGCGTCCCAGGCTCCCTGGGCTGGCACCGATGGGAGCAGGTAACTTGCAGCCAGGGTGTTCGCGTGCCGATGAGAGCGAACCGCGGCCAGCGGGGCTGCGAAGGGGTCTGGAATGGCTGTGATCTTATCGCTGCTTTATCTCTATCCAGCCTTGATCTCGGCAGAAAGCGGGGCCACGTGGCAGTAATTGTGTTAGGAAAACAAACTAATCTCCAAAGGGACAGAGAGCAGCTGTTGGGCTCTTGGTGCTATCAGGGAAATGGATGTGGCCTGCCAGCTTGCAGCGCTGTTCTGCTGGAGCAGGGGCCAGGCAGGGGATGGAGGGGGCAAAAAAGGGATTAGAAGGAACTTTGGGCTGCCGGGTGAGACTGAAGGAGTGTTTGTTGTGGCGTAAGCTGCCCAGTGTTACCTGCCCTGCTTTGTCAAGAAGCCCTTTGCTTGCCAGAATGTTTCAGAGGCATGGTCTGGTGGATCAGGTATGGGAGTAGGGAGAGCCAGGTTTAACCTTGGCAGATCCCTTATCACCGTCTGCCTGATGTCTCCTTTGTGCTCTGTGTCTAGTTGGGCAGCAGGTTTGCAGAGCTTTCTTTTAGTGTTCTCCATACAAGACTTGCCCTGTGCCCCAGGCACCCCAAACCCTGCTGCTGACTGTGGCTGAGCTGCTTGTCCTCCCTCCCTACCCCACTCCCACTTCTTCAGTCTGGTCTGGGAGTGCACAAGGTCTAGCTGGCAGGGCATCACTGCAGGCTTGAGGACCTGGAGAGATGGAAAAAACTCTTGGAGATGCCTCTGGAGATTGGGCTGCAGCAGGAGGAGCCCTCCTCTGCAGCCTTTGCCCAAATTTGCAGGGGAGAGGAAACATGCAGTGGTCAGTCTGGTTTGGAGCTGGTTATCTCCTGCAAAGCCATAGGCAAGAAATTAATTACAATGATCCTACAACTGCTGGGCTTGGCCCTCCCCACAACTCTCCTCTGTGACTGTGTCTCCAGCCCAGGAGCTCAGGCAGGAAAACACAATCTCCCCCCTAAATCTGGAGTGTGAGTATCTTTGGGGTGGTGGAAGACAGGGAGAAAAGCAAGTGGCAAAGGCAGATCAGCCCCACAGGTTACACATGACCCCCCACCTCCCCAGAAAGCTGAATCAAGCCCCTGGCATTGAATAACCCCAAATTTGGGGAAGGTTAAAATCCACCTCTGAAGTGTCTGGCTCCAACCCAACACAAACATTATTGTTGTTTCTGGATTATGTAGTTTAACAGAAAAGAAAGTCCTATCATTAAGTAACACCAACAAGATACACACTTGTGTCTTGTATTTAGTCTGTCCTACATACTCTACTAAGGCTCCAATTGACTTGAAAAAATCAAAAAAGCCCAGAATTACACAGCTCCCAAAAGTTTTCCTGAAAATAAATTTTTGCCATGTTCTGCCCTGCAGTTAATTAAGACTTCTATTAAATGTTGACAGGAGCTTGATAATGTAATATGTTGCAGCAGGCTCTGTTCGTGGTGTTATAATTATGGCAGTAAAACAGTTTCCATTATAGCCCTTCTTTTCATAAGCTCATAACTTTTGAAAACATTCACTTTTCAGGTTGAAATTTTTGCATGCCTGGCCCTTACCCAGTGGGGAATTTTTTTGGAAACTCTGAGGAAAAAAAAAAAAAAAGCCATGTAGTCTTTTTTGAATTATGGGGGAGAAAATATGAGCTTTTTTCAGCTGGAATATAGGTGAAGGGGAAAAAGGTAATGACATATTTTTTCTAAATAGATGGATAGTAGAAGCATGTGATACCTGATGCTTGCTTTGGAAATGGATAGGCTAGGCTTTGCAGAGTGCCTGGGGCATGTCCCATCCAAAAAAAAAAAGATCCTATCTCTGACTTAAAAGCCTTGATGAAGCCAATGACAGAGCCTCAAGAGAATCCAGTTGTCACCCATGAGAAGTGACTCTTGGTTGCAGGTTAAAAATAGAGGTTGATAATTAATAACTCTTTCCTCCTGGCAGCATTTTTGAGGCACTGACAGTATTTCTCATCTCTCCTGGGGATGAGGAGTCAGTTCTGAAAAATTTTGTGAACTAGAAAACCAAAGGGTAAGATCTTTAAGGTCAATGAAAATATTTTTCTTTGATAATTTCAAGCTTCCTGTTTTGATAGGTTTTTTTTTCCCTAGAAGCAGCTTAATTCTGAAGAGAGAAGACCTTTTCAACTAAAACCCTGGGATGTCACTGAAGGAAATGTAAAAGCCAAACATTTGGACAATTTGGAAACAGATTTGAAGGGTTTTTTCCAAGTTGAAATAACTGTCTGAACTACCCTTGCCTGCAAAACATTAAATGGGCATTTTCCCACCAGCCCCTTCCCAAGCCCATTGCACAGGGAGTTTCCCAGCTGGCCTGTGTTAGGCAGTGGATAGATGCAGAGATGGGGCAAATGAGGTGGAGCCTCACTGGCAGGAGCAGCCTGAACCACTGTGAGACTTCACTGGACTCGTGATTTTAATTCTCCCAGGGCACGAGCGCTGTTTGGCTCCAGGATTTCATCCTCCTCCTCAGCCACCACCACCATGGTCCCTCAGGAGGCGCTTCAAAGGCATGTGGGTCCCACGGGACATTGAAGATACAGCTGACCTTCTATTACAGCCTTCAAAAGCATCTAGGATGATTAAGAGTCTACCTCCTGATGGGACCTTTAACCACATGGAAGGTGGGATTTCAAGCTCTTAAATTGTTTCTGTGCTTTTGAAATAGGCTTGTTGTCTTTGTTGGGGCTGGTTCCTCTTAGTTGCTGGCAGTGGTCAGGGAAGGACATGGGAGTGGGGTCAGGCAGGAGCACGGCTGGAGAGCGATGCCTTTGCAGGATCATGTCCCTTGGTGACACTGGGCTGTTTTCAGGCAGAGCTAAGAGAAAAGGTGTCCTGGAGAAGGATGCAGAGGATGAATGGAGGCACAGACCTGCTTCTGAGAGGTGGCACATGCACTTTGGCAACACGAATGACTGATAAATCAGAAATAGACTGGCTACTCTCAACCCCCTTGTCTTCAGCAGTGGATCAAGGGATGTCTAGCACTAAACACAGTAGTTACGCTTTTTTCCTCCTCTCCAAAGCAGGGCACTGGGTGCTCAACTTGGTCACATGTTTATGTGTGGCTGCACATTCCCCACCCCGGGCTGCAGAGTTCCCAAAGGCCGGCTGGGTTTTCTGCAGCTCCTTTCCCAACCCGCCGCAGAAGAAACAACCGGGTAGGACTGTCTGCGTGGCACAGGGGTGGGTCTGCAGGCTGTGCTGCCCCACGTGAGAGGGGCCAATGTCCTCCCCACAGTGCTGTGCACAGCCCCTGGCCGACCTGGCTGCTTTCTTTGGCGTGGCAGGAGCTCTGCTTGGCTCTGGCAAAAGCTGTCTTGACACTGATGTAATCGAAATCCAGATATCACTGGGGGAGGCTTATCTCCAAACATGCCCAGCCCTGGAGCCAGCACCCCCAGCACGAGCCCACTGCCCGAGGCAGCGCCAGGAGGGTTGTGTGGCTGGTGTTGAGTAAGTCAGCTCAAAATGATGGTGTGTAGGCATGCTGCCAAGACTTGGAAAGGAGATTAGGGCTGGAAAAATTTGCCTTGACTGTCAGACCCAAGGGTCTTTGCTGACCTGGAGCATTTGTCTTTAGACTTTGCTCCCTGGAGCGTTCCCAGAGGGCTTCCCTGTCAAGGTAGGGGTAGCAAGAGGGATGTGCGACCCAAGTCCTGCCCAAATACCCTCTCTGGGTTGGCTCCAGTGACTCCAAGGAGCCCCAAAGACAGAGGCAATGGAAAGCTTGTTCTAGGAAGCAGACCCATTTGTATCCTTAATTGGAGCCAAGGGGGAATGTAGGCTTTCGAGTAGGATTGAGGCCAAATGTACATACCAGAAACAAAAGAGAAAAATTCTCCATTGATTTAAAAAAAAAAACAACAACAACAAAAAAACCCTTAAATGCTCAAAACTTGCTCATATTGAGTTGGACAATAGTGGGATGAGCAAAGAGGGATCAGAAGGTAGGAAATTACACCAGTACTGCACATGTTGAGAAACAGGTTTAGTCCATAGAGTGAGATGCTCAAAAGTTTTGTGAACACTATGAACACCTTTGGTAAAAAATACTGTAGTCATGGTGTGGTGGAAAGGAGCTGCAAAAGGAAGAATGTCAGAGAGGTTACATTAGGTTCAGTCAGAAGGTTCAATCTCTGGTGTCCATCCACAGGCAGCAGTGACTCCCTGGGGGTGGAGCATGTGGGATGGAGCATGTATGCTGTGATCTTTAGAGCCAAGGGTTGCACCTGGCCTGTAGTTTCCAGATAGTTCCCAACAGACCAGCCTTCTTTAAGCGTGAATCCGTTCCTCCTTCATCCCTCCATGCCATCCTCTGGTGTCAGATCCAGCAGGGCCCTAGGAGGCAGTCTCTGGATTTGTGTCACTGGCAGTGGCATGGTGCTGATTTTCAGCTCCTTGCCCCAAATTTCCAGCAGGAGTGGAAGAAACTTCAACCAGTGCTGTTCTCAGTGGGTCCATGTCAGCAGTCTCTGCACTCCTGGGGGGTTTGTCACTGGGTGTTTCCTCATGGTGTCAGGCTGCTTGCAAGGAACTTGCTGGTTGAGTCTTGAGTATGTGCTGGTGCTGCACCTCGTGGTTGGGCTCAGACTTCCCTGCTCTCCCACTAACCTGCTCCTTCCACCCCAATTGTTTTTGCAGACTGCATCAATAATCGAATGTGCAGAGGTAGCGGGGCACGGATCTATGTCTGAGCCCTGCTCACATTCAGTACCCCGAGAGGGAAGAGAAGAAGTGGGGGGGAAGGCTTTTATCCCCTTTTTAAAAGCAGGAACATGGGATGTTCATTAGGCTTTCTTCTTCAGAGAGTATTCCTGCCTTTCTCCTCTCGCAGCTGTCCCTGGACGCGCGCACCCCGCGCCCCTCCCCGCGCATTCCTGCACAAACCCCTTTTGTTCGCTGCCCTCAGCCAATATCCAGGCAGCAACAGCAGCCCAGATGTTCCCTATCAAACTCCGAGCCATGCCAACAAACTTTGGCACACATGAAAGTGCGCTGAGGAATGGGCCTCCGCAAATACCATTTCTTTTTTTCCCCCCACCCCTCCATTCCTGTAAGTATTTTTAAATGTTAATGGCTTCCACGCCGGGACAGCCGGCGGGGGGCTGCCAAGCCGGGCTCGGGGGCGTCTGGCAAATTAGTGGTTCAGGTATCCCCGGCGCCTCGGCGGGGCTGTGCTGACCTTGAGCCCCTGCTCTGTTTTCCCCAGTGGCTTTCCAAGGCCGGGGCTGAGCCGGTTCTGTGTTCCCGTGGGCGATGCTGTTTGGAGGCAGTGACCCGCAGCCCAGCCCGCGGTGGGGAATGCAGGCAATTCCTTGTGGGCGATTTGCTGTGAGTCTGTTTTCTCCTCGCACTGTCAGGGCTGGTTTGTGACGACCTAGAAAAGCACAGTTGAAGATGCTGCGGGGGCTGAGTGGCCCCTTTAGGCTTGGCTTTGCCACAATCCCAGTGTTTGGTGGGTGTGGAAGTGAGCTGGGTTTTTGGCTGGTGTGGGATGTAGTTTTTCTTCATCTCTTTCTTGGCATCTTCCCTGCAGGCAATTCCTGTGCTGTCATTCAGCTGTGAGCCCTGAGTCGTGGTGCAGATGGGGCCACTGTGCTGACCAGGAGCACTGTGGGCACCACAAGCTGACAGAGATGACCAGGAGGAGCAGGAGCTGAAGAACAGCCAGGCCAGGACTCAGCTCTACAAACCAGAATCGAGCTGGCTTTGGCCATGGGCGGATGGGTGAGTGCACAAGTGAAAACCTTCCTCTGCCCACATGAGTAGAAAATCTACTTCTACTGAGTAAAACACAACCCTGAGGCTGTGCATGGATATGCTTCAATGGAAGCACCCTAATGTTGCACCCTGATGTGTAGATGTGGTTACAAGCTGCTGCAGGTGGGAGCTGCCACCCCTTTATGCTCCTGTGCAGGCTCAGCTCTGCCCTTTGCTGCAGATGTTTCTCCTCCCATCTCAAACAGCAGAGCCATGTTCCACCTCTCCATCTCTACCACCGAATCCCAAGGGGTCAGTGCCAGATTTGGTGCCTACCACCCTAACTGTGGAGAGACAGCCTTGGAGAGGAGACAGCTGAACAAAGCAAAGGCCGTTTATGGCAGAAGATCCATTCTCATCTAATTTAAACATTTGTTTCAGCACCAAGGCTCTTCAAAGACTGCCTGAACTCCTTTTTACCCATCCACTATAATGGCAGCGATTTATTTTTTCACTCCTCTCTCACACTGAAAAGATTGAAGCATTTTTACTCAAATTAAAAACAAAAAGAAAAAAAAGAAAAAAAAAAAAGAACTCCTATCTGGATGAAGACCAGGACTTGCAAAGTTTCTAGGAAGAGTGGTGAACCTCTCTTCCTGGCAGTGTGCTTATCTGAGATCATCTCCTTGAGGAGTATGCCAAGATTTCCACAAGAAGGGATGGCACATTGTCTGCCTCCTCCTCTCAGCCAAATTCACTACAAGGTCCCAGGGGAGGGAGAACAGCTCAATTCCAGCCTGGAGTTGAATGGAGAGGAAGCAATGATTTTGGAGAGGTTCAGAGGAACAATTAGATGTGCACTCAATAGCCAGGAGTGCGGAAGGGAGAGGAAAGGGGTTTGCACAATCCAAGCACAGGAGACAGCTCTGGCTACAAGGACATGCTCTGAGGGGCAGCAGTGAGCTCCTGTGGAGGGGCCTCACTGGGTGAACTGGACTGGATGAGGGCAGGAGCCATTTCCAGAGACATCCTCCCCGTCCCCAGGCTTGCGCCTCTTGCACTGGTGACAGAGATCCTCAAAAGACAGTGTCAGCTGCACCCTCTGTATCCTTGTCCTGGCCGTGGACCTCGGAAAATAAATGCAACCTTTGAGAAAGGGTTAAGATAAAGAGGTGGTGGAAGAAAAATGGTCTGAGCCGATGAAAACCCCCTCTCTGGAGGGAGAGAGAGAGAAAGGGGAAAAAGACTGTGGTTAGTTTTTTTACAATGGATTTGCAGAGACTATTTCTAGAAAGTGGGAGAAATTGAGCTCCAGTCTCTGGTTCCCTTCATTAAGGAGGGAAGGCGGCACCACTGAATTTGCCATTAAAATAGTAGTAATAATTGTAATAAAAAACATAGCCCCTAGATTATCCTATTTTAAAATAAAATAAAATATAAAATCAAGAGGTAGCTGCCATTTCACATGTGGTCTGGTTTAAATCCTGGGAGCAACGTGGCCCCGAGATCTAACCTGTTGGAGTAGATTCCCGCTGTGTTCAAAGGCAATGGCAAACCCTTGAATTTGCTTTCAAACTTGGGCTGGGGCTGCTAAGGTTTTTTTGAAGCCCTGAGCAAGTTGAGGAAGATCTTTTCATGATCAAGCAGTCTGTGGGAAAAATATATTGGTAGGCTTGCATGGAGGGAACAGTTTGGGATATGAGGCAAGTCTCTCTCCAGATGCTCTCTGGATTGTTTTGTGGCTTATGCAGAAAGTCTGCAATCTTTGGGGCTTCACATAAAACCTGGAGGACAAAGGTCTTTCCTGTAAGCACAGACAGAGTTAGATTCCCCAAATGAGGCCAATTTCAGCAGTTGATCTTCATTTAACACTCCCAAGCCAGATGAAAAATTGCAGACTGAATCTGACCATGTGTACTTCCGAAGGTTTTCTAGTTGCTGGTGCACAGGTGTTGCTCCAGGGAGGATGCAGATGTACCCTGACAGACACTGGCTCAATAATCCTGCTTTTCTGAGCTGGATAGTCCATTTTGGATTCAAAGGCAATGCTGGCTTAGTCTCAGGATATCTGTTTGTCCTCCCCAGTTCATCTTCAGTTTCTCCGTTTGTGAGCGCATTGCTACGCTGAGCACGTGGACAGGGATTGCAGAGCCTTTTCTCCTGCTAGGAGAGGGATCTGGAAACAATTACAAGCTGCTCATGCTTAATCACTCGGGTAAATCTTAAATGCCTGTCTTAATATTTTGCAGGACTGAAGATGGCATCTGAATTTTTGTGGTGTGCAGGTTACACAGCAGAGCACAGAGACTTTGACAGTTTTGCTCTGTGCATGTTTCAAGGGTCCTGAGGACCCCACAGCTTCTATGAAATTCAGGTACAATTTCAAAGGAAACTAAAATACAAAGGGGGAAAAAAAGACCCCAAAGTATTTGCCTGATATTTGTACAAATTGTCAGCTCAGTCATGTTCTAATGAACCTTTGTTGAACCTGAGCATTTGTATCTCAAACTGAACAAGAAGAGAGTACTAAAAGAATTTAAAATATAAAAATAAAAAATGAAATGCCCTGTGAAAATGAAGACAACCAAAATAACTCACAAATCCAGGCTGAAGTCAGTCAATGACAAGACAAAACAATAGAAGTCCTTCCTTCCTTAAATATTGAAATGTTTCACTTCGGCATTTTCAGGCTGAAACAGATTACTTGATTGAACATCATTTAGTTTGAAGGTTTCTTTTTTGTTTTCATTTTCAATGGACTTAAATTTAAAAGGAAGTGAGTTGTGTGTTTTTGCTTGACTTTTAAAAAAGATTAAATAGTCTCCAAGCAAACCAGAACATTTTGTTACTGGTCAAGCAAAATGTTTTTGGTTGACCCAAAATGAATTGAGATGTTCTCATTATATTAAGTCTTTCCTATTCAGCTCAGCTCCAAAACCAGAATTTTCCACCACCAGAAGAAACCAGTCATCCTTGTTTTCACCTTCCTGCTGCAGCAGTAAAGGTCTAATTTGGGTTGCTCCTGTTTTAATCAGAGCTTGCTTTATTAACCTCTCCATTTACTGCAGGCTGAGGTCTGTGATATCAGTGTTTGTAGCCAGGGTGTGGTACAGATCACTCTCCAGCTATCTCAGATACCTCACCAAGGAGCTGCTAAGCCTCCCTGGCCATCAGCCTGCTTATTTACAGGCTTTATAGCTATGGTTCAAACCCTGCCAGTGACACCAACACTTGGAAATCATCATTAGCGTGTGGCCCTAGTAAGCCTGTGGGTGTCAGCTGCGTGTGCAGTCATGGTAGTATTCAAAAACTAAAGAAAACACTCTCCTCCCACAGAAACCGCTGAAAAACAACTTCTACACAAACATTGTGAAAGGCAGCAACTGACTGGTGGGGAGGACTTTCCAAAGCCATGGAAGGAAGTTACCTATTAAAGCCTCGGTAAGAGCCAAGCACTCTAACTCAGCGATCCTTTGAAAACCTCCTCCCAGTCCAGCCCCAGCGAGGAACCCTTCACTGACATCATCCATAAACAGGTGGGGGTTTATATCTCTTTTGTGTGTGCTTGTGACAGGGAGAAAGCATCGACATTTCGCGAACTTTATTGCAGGAAAGACACAATGTTTCATCTTAAGGACTTCCAAATCGTTGCAGGCATTGTCTGTGGGGCGGCCAGTGGCCAGGTGGGAGCAGGTCATCCCTCGGAGCTCTCTGGGTGCTCTCTGAAGCACAGGCCCTCCAGACATGGGGCACCACAGGTGCTGCTTGTTCAGGGTGACGCTGGAGTGCTGCACCCAAAATTGGCCGTGCTGCCTCAGAGCTCCTGTTTATAGCGCTGAGGATAATCTGGCTGAACCTGGGCTCCCTTCACCTCTCAGGCAGCTGAGGGGATGCTGAGGTCCTAACCCTGCACATCTGTCTGTTGTAGCTTAAGTGTTTGCAGGATGGGAATTAAGATTATGTGTGTCCTACAGCTTGCTGGTCTCCAAATGGGTTCCTTGGTTGCTCTTTTTTATATTTCTTCTTTATATTTGTGTTACAGACACCTCCAAAGATCCTGAATGAGGAGGAGATGGCTGTGCTCTGGACAAGGCTCCACGGAGAAATATCTGGTATCTTACTGCAAGGATACAGTAAAGGTGAGAGGATGGCTTGGTTTGCAAATAGGCAGGTGCTGTCACACATCCTTCTTTGGCAGTGAACACGTGGCCTAACCTGGTGTCCCTTCAACCACCTGGGCTGAAAACGAGCCAAACCAGTGTGCACTGATTCCATGCTGTGCCTTCACACAAACAACAGCATTTCTGGGGTGCCCTGTGGGGATGCAGCAGGATGGGAGCAGTGTCCCACACCACTCCCTGAGGATCACCTGCATTTCACTTGCAGAAGGGAGTTGTCTCAGCCCAGTGTGCTGTGTTGCAGTAGTGCAGAGGTGGGAAAGAGGAGGGGACAACATCCTCCAGCATGTGGCTTGAGAAGCTGGAAGGAGAGACATGAACTGGCTGGGCTCAGCTGTCACATTGGTGCTGACTGGCACTTTATGGTAGGAAAGTGATTTTCACATCATGTAATGCTCTACTGCAAATACATATTACAAGCAGTGCTGGCTCTTGGGTTTGGCAACCATCTGTCCCTCTGTCTTGCTGTGAAAAGACAAAGATTTCCCACAGAGACTCTTGCAGGGGTGGCAGGACCTGCACAGCTGATGGCACTGAAAGTGGTGCAGATGTGTGTGCCCAAGGGCAGGATGATGGGGCTGTGACAGCAGCAGGAAGAAGTGGGAATGGTTTGGGAAGTACCACTGTCATGAGAACAAGGCTGGGAGAGGTGTCAGGAGCTGGCCAGTTCTCAGCTGGCAGCAGCACACCCCGAGGGATGTGGGTTGTCTCTAATGGGACAATGATGCAGCAGAGCAAGGTCAAAAATGTTGCTCAGCAGCCTGAACCCATGAGGGGTCTGGGAGCCTCCCTCTCTCCTCTGGAGCCTGTGTGGGGATCCACACACCCAGAATCTCCAAAACGTGCATCTTGCTGTCCCGGGGCTGCACTGACCTTTCCTCTGCCTTACCCAGCAGATGTTTGTTGTTAAAAATACCTGAATGGAGACTCTGTGGTGGTCTTGAGTCAATTCTCTCCACCTTTTGCTGCCCTGACTCATCTCTAGCCTGAAGCTCGCTTTCTTCTTCACCTATCCACCACGGGCTCTGAAAACACATTTCCCCTGTCTCTTTACAGCTGTGTTTTATATATTTAAAGGCTATTATCATGTCTTCTCCCCCACACTTCTCTCCCATCCAGACTAAACAACCTCAGCTCATTCTCTTGAGCGTGTAACAACAATAAGTTTGTTTGATGAAAACTCAATTTGTTTAGTGCAGTGGTTCTAATCACTCAAGTTATGCCAAAGATAACAAACATTTAGCAAATTTCTCTTCAAATCTTTAATTTTATCAACTGTTTTGACAGTTAGATTACAATTTTTACACAAAGAGTTAGAATGAAAGCAGTTGCTTTCTAGTTTTTCTGTATAAACATTTGAATTATGACTTTCACATTAGGCAATGCAATTAAAAGCATTATAGAACTGTCATGAAGTATTTAACTTGGGGTTATAAAAAGTATTATTTTAATGATGTTTAAAAACTATTTAGAAAGTATCTTTTTAAAGTAATTAGCTACAACAATATTTCTTTAGCTATACAAAAACATGTATCAATAATTACTCATTTCCACTTCTTTCACTGCTCAGCGCTGGTTTTCCCAGCCAAAATGGTAAATTTATAATCTTCAGGATATTTAATGAAGTTATGGGTTTTTTTAATTTTACAAGCTTTTTTTTTAAGGTGCTTTTAATTAGCGAGCTTTTAATCCTGTTTAAGATTTTTTTTTCATGCAAATAATTTAAGATGAGGAGTTACTACAGAATATTTTTGTCTATGTGGAAAAATGAGGTGAGAAAGACTCCAAAAATGTCAGTAAGAATGTTAATTGTTTGGGTTTTTTTTTTTAAAGAAAACATTTATATTGCACGCTGAGCTTTCTGCCAGTTCAGATGTGATTTTCTGAAAGCCTAACCCATCTTAAGGGAAAAGCTCAAAAGCTGAAACAAGAAAACATGAGGTGGGAACCTTAAAAGCCGAGATGTTTGTAGGCTCAGTTTCCAAGCAAACATATCACTGTAACCAGACGTGTCCCGGACAAACATGCTGCTCTCCCCACCCAGCTCTGCTGGTCACCAGCCCTGTGTGGTGTGGGGTCCCCGTGGGAACACCTCACCCCAGTTTGGCTGCTGACAGCCCCAGGTACCCTTGGGAAGGGAAAAGTGGTATCTGCAGGTCTGGATGGGGAATTTGCAGCCTGCTGGAGTCCATGGCAAAAATCAGACAATTTCTGCAGCCCTGTTCTATCTCCCTGTTCCATCCCTCTGGCTGCAGTGGGACTTCGGTCCAGCCCCACAGGTGCCATGGACAGCCCTGAGAGAGATCTGCTGGGAGCACTGCTAGGACATATCCCCACTTTCCCTGGGACCTGAGGAGCAAAATTTGGACCTCTTAAAGTAAAACAGCTGTGAGTTCAAACCACAGCCTTAGACCAGGGGTCAGGACTTTACCCCTAAGGTCTCTGTGAAAGGTAACTCAGAGGAAGCAAAGCCACAGACTTAAAGTTGCTGTGTAAGTCTGCCTCTTCACTAGAAAATGTGTACAGAGCCACAAATCAAAAGATGTTGAAAACCTTTGGTTTATATGGTTTAAAAAGCAGGTTTCTGATGTAGGTTTTTTCACTCAATACCTCTTTATGTAAGTGGATTTTTGTTTCCTTCTATGAAATTCTTACAAACCAAAAGACTGCCTTGGTCCCAGAAATGACAGTGCTGACTTAATCCCACTTACCAGGCAGTGAAAGGGAACAGAAGCTGAGGAGAAGGAATAGTGCTGGGGGTTTTTTTATTCAGTTTTTTCGCCTTACTCCAGAATGAGAATAATTCATTTTACAGCAGAAACACTGCTTCCATTAGATGTACCTGCATTTTTGCATAACTCCTCAAGCCAGCCCATTGCAGTAGGGCCAGTAACTGCAGGATAACACTGGGGTTACATTCTTGAAGTGTTTCTGGGGTTTGAATCACTGGTACGGTGCTCACACAGTGCCATGGCTCATCTGGACGTGGTGGTTCTTCCCAAGCCAGATGGGATAATGTTGGCACAAGATGCAGTGGATGGATACAGTTTGGATGGATACAATGGATACAAGTTTAATAGTACAAGTTAGAAAGAGGACTAAATTGATTTAGGAATTTTTGGCTGTGTTATTTTCACAATGTTTTATCCTCATGTCTCTTTAGTTAAATGTCAGAGTCCTTGGAAGCTCATGATAGGGTCTGAAACACAAGCAGAAAAGAAACTTCCCTATACTAGTCTCACATTAGGGCTCAATCCTCTCCTGGGAAAATGTTGATTTGTGTGTTAGTGTGACGGCGTGCAGAGCAGTGCAAGAATCAAGTTAAAAATATATTATCTAAGTCGGGGAGCCCCTTGATGGAAGAGCTTATTTGGCTCTTAAAACCCTCCAAAATTTTCAGTATGAAACCGATGCAAATTGAAGTTATGTCCTGGTACAAATTGCATCTGTCCCGGGTTGAAATGTCATCTGAGGTCTGACCCTGAGGTCTGACCTGGGGAGCCCAATTTGCCAGCCTGTGATGACATTTCCACGCTGATTTGGGAACTGCAAGAGAAGAGATGTTTCTGTGATCTGTTGGTGCTCCCTGCTTCTGGAATCAGCAGACTCCAGGCCAATTAGACCATGAGAAAAGGGATGCAGCAGTCATGGAGGTCTCCAGGTCTGTTAGTGAGGGAGCAGCTCTTGAAGCAGGACTCAAATCCAGATACAGGACTCAAATCCAGCCCCAGGTGTAGCAGGAAAGTTTGTGTTGTTCCTGGGGATATTGGTCCAGGAGATGGGAAAGTTTTCTGTTTTCTCTTCTTGCCTTTTCAGCCTGCATTTTAGCAAAATTTGCTTGGAAAACACTTTATTCCTAGGTGGCAAATGTTCAGTGCCATGTTCTGCTCACAGGACTTTAAACAGCCAGAGAACATGGTCAGCCTGTGTTTCCTAAACCTGCTGTTGGTAAATGCTCCATGAAATGACTTCACTGGGCTGTAATTGTTCCTGGAGCAAGCTGGCCCAAAGGCCAGCAATTAAACCTTTGGCTGATGGAAGCTGTTAGCATGGATTGCTGCTTTGCCTATGGCATTCTAGTTAACAACTCTAAACTCTTTATACTTTTCCTATAAAACACGTGGGAGCTCTGTGCCTGGAATATCTGTGGCAGTAAAGTGAACATGGTGCTTCACTTCTGTTCATAGCACTAAAACTTGGAAGAGAAGAAAGAGTCAAAGTTCAAGAAGTATGTGTTTGTACTTCATGAAGCACATTCAGTTGATATCTGTGGGTTTGGTGCAGCCCCTTACTGTGATTTAGAGATCAGAACAGGTTTAGATTCATGACTCTTATAAGGGCATCTAAAAGGGAATTAGGTGCCCACACCTTTTTGTAAGCCAACCCTTGCTGGGCTGGCCAACACTGTTCCATTGTAAAATTCAAGCTGACACCTGGTTCTGCCATCTGGACTCCCTGGAGTCTGAGAGTGTTTGAGTCAAAGTTGGATCATGGCTCTCATTCAGATCTCTCCTGTGCTCAGTCAGGTTTCCCAGAGGAAACCATAATCCTGTCTGAAGGGCCACTCAGCATCCGTCTGCCCCACGCTCATCCAGGAAGGACTTCCTGGATGAGATAACCTTGCTCTCCTCCTCTGCTGGATGCCTGCAACGCTTCTGCTCGGCATCAAGGCCTCCAGCTGAGCTGCAGGTGAACAAGGGTGGCACTTGTGTTCTCCAAAGGCACTCACTGGGCCAAATCCCATCAGAAACACTTAACGCCTGCCAGTTCAGCACCGTTGTGTGTGTGTGTGTGTGTCCCCCCTCCCCATCCAGGACTGGTATTTATGGGACGTGTTAGTCATGCAGGAGCTGCTGGAAGTGCTGCCGCGGTAAATTGCAGTGTCATCCATGGCCATCAAGTTATGGGCTTGCTTGGGGAGCTCCAGAGCTTGACTAATCCCTTACAGATTGGAGTCGGGGAGGGATGTGGTCAGGCACTGGAAGTGTCCCTGTTTTACTGCTGATGATGTATTATTGAAGCCCGCAGGCCCCTGGGCTGCTGCAGCTAAGCTGGGGGCTCGTGCCTTTGTGCTCATGGTGGGAGGGGAGCTCATCCACAGGGCCTCTGGCAGGATTAAAGCAGCCACAGGAGTTTGGGATGGAAGGGAAAAGGCTTCTTTTCGTGGATACTGAGAGACGCTGCTGTTCATTGTGGGATCTTTTCAGTTTATACCTAAGGATGGGAGCGTGTATGTGCAACCTCGTGCATAATGGTCAGAGCAGACTTTCAGAAACATCAGCGTGGGCAAAATAATACTTTTCCCTGCTGGCCTTCCAGTACTTAAAGGCAGCTTATAAGAAAAGAGAGAGCGACTTTTTACATGGGCAGGCTGTGACGGGGCAAGGGGGAATGGTTTTAAATGAAAAGAGATTTAGATTAGATATTAGAAAAAAATTCTTCCCTGTGAGGGTGGTGAGGCCCTGGCACAGGTTGCCTAGAGCAGCTGTGGCTGCCCCATCCCTGGAAGTGTTCAAGGCCAGGTTGGATGGGGCTTGGAGCAACCTGGGATAGTGGAAGGTGTCCCAGCCCATGGCAGGGGGTGGAATGAGATGAGCTTTAATTTCCCTTGCAGCCCCCAAAGCACTCTGGGATTCCATGATTTCCTCACAGTGGTGTCACTGGAACTTTAACTACACTCCCCGGAGCAAGATCTCTCCTGCTCTTATTTACTTTAATTACAGATTATAAATGACCGGGGCGGTGTGTCTGGAGAGTGTAATGCTCCCTGAAGTTCGCTTTATTCGGGTGCGGCTTCCCCTCTCCATAAACCTCATTAGCCTTGTTCGGTCACAGGTCGGATTCGATCATCTCAGAGGTCTTTTCCAACCTAGTTGATTCCGTGCTTCTTTACCGGCACTGTGTTCTCAGGAGCCCCGGGGCTGTGCCCAGGGCAGCTTTCCCCGGAGCACGGACGATCCGCATCCCCTCGCGGACCTCCCCTTCTCCTTCCCCCCGCTCACGCCGCCATCTTGCCCGCCCCGCCCCCGCGGCGCGAGGCCCCCGGCCGGGCTGTCCGCGGCGTTCGCCGGCGGCGGCGTTGGGGCAGCCCCGGCCCTGCGCGGCGGGAGGAGGGAGCGCCATGGCCGAGGCCTGGGCCGGCTTCTCGCAGGAGGAGCTGCGGCGGCTGCGGGGGCAGCGCCCAGGTACGCACCGGGCACCGGGAGGCGGCGGCGCGGGGGAGCCCCCCGGGCCTCGGCACCCCCGCAGCTGTACCTGCCTCCCTTCGCCCCTCAGCGCCCCGTGCCCTCAGCCCCTCCATCCGCACCTTATTCGTCCCCTCAGCCCCTCCATCTACACCTCCTTCCGACCCCTCAGTTCAGCCGGTCTATCCCCCCATCAAACGCCTGCGCAGCCCCCCGGCCCCTCCCGTCCAGCCCCATCTCTCACCCCTCTCGTCATCCTGCCCCTCTCTCTGGACCCCCACAACCCTTCGGTCGCGTTTCCAGACTCTCCAGGCTCTTGCCCTGCTTCCACATCCCTGCCCACTGCCCCATTCGTGTTCCCAGCCTCCTCTTTGCCTACGTGTCACCTTGTTCTTTCCCGTTCTCCGGTTTATGTCCTCGATTTGCCCACCAGGCTGCATGGGACCCTTCCTCAGCCCCAGATCTGCCTCTCCATGATTATCCCAAGAGTTGCCTCTCTCCTATCGTTCCTCCTTTAGTCCTGCAGTCCAGGCCCCTTATTCCTCCCTCTCCTCATTTAGGAATGCTCATATCCTTTAAAACTACAGATCCTTATGCTAGCAAAGCATTTCCAGCTTGCTGGGTTTTCCCCCACATTGGTTTTCCATGGCACTCTAGTCGTCTCATCCTTATGTTGGTTGTGCAGCAGTTGCTCGTCCAGAAAAACTCATTCACAGATTCTCTGACAATGAGATTTGTTTTTAATCCCGTTTTTCCCTTTCCTCTGATAGAGCTGTTCGAGCCCTCGGAGCAACAGCAGCAGCAGCAGCCTCGCCCCCACACCGGGAACAAGCCTCGGAAGCAGTTGCAGCGGGAAAAAGCCCTCCAGCAGCAATGCCAGAGGCTGGGACTGCAGGGTGGGGCAGCCCCTGTCACTCCGGAGCAGTTGCTCTCTGCACCAAAGCACAAGCCCTGTCACCCTCAGCAGCCCGTGCCAACACCTCGTCCTCCTCCTGCTGGAGATCAAAGGCAAAGTGACAGCCAGGATCAGCAGGAGGAGGTGACACCTTGCAATGGCAGGGACAGTGCCCAGCCCCACCCTGCACAGCCCAGCACCCAAGTGGAGAGAAAGAAAGTGGAATTGTTAGTAAGTCAGTAAAATCTGGGGGTGGGGGCTGTTGCTCTGCGTTGATTCATTCTTTCACTGTGAAGTAAAGTGAACTTTTCTGTGTCTAATTGGAAGGTTTGAGAGATCAAATCATTCCCTCTCCTGTGAGGAAGGACTGAGAGAATTGGAAAAGAGAAGGCTTTGGGGTGACCTAATTGTGACCTGAAGGGAGCCCACAGGAAAGATGGAGAGACTATTTACAAGAGCATGTAGTGACAGGACAAGAGGGAAGGGCGTCCCATTGACAGAGAGTAGGGGTAGATTAGATATTAGGAAAAAAATCTTCCCTATGAGGACAGTGAAGCACTGGCACAGGTTGCCAGAGAAGCTGTGGATGCCCCATACCTGGAAGCGTTCAAGGCCAGGTTGGTCAGGGCTTGGAGCAACCGGGTCTAGTGGAAGGTGTCCCTGCTTGTGGCAGGGGGTGGAATGTGATGATCTTTAAGGTCCCTTCCAACCCAAACCATTCTGTGGTTCTATGACCATATTAGATTGCTCTGCATTGGAGCTTTGGTTTTAATCTCTAGTTGGGTTAAACCTGATTGAGGACCAAATTCTGCAGTGTACTCTATGCAGAGATGCACTGTGCTATTTTCAGATAATTTCTTGTGGCAGTGGCACTGCTCATCATAAAGTGCCTGAGATGTCTTAATGGTTTATGAAGGCTGGCCTCCAAACTTCCATGCATCATTTGTATTCCCCAAGCAGGGATCAGCAGCTTTCTGGGTGTGGTGAGCCAGACACTGTTCAGCTCCTTTTTGGTGGGGAAAACACCTGGAGCTTTGCAGAGACTTTTTCACGCTGTGGGAGCAAATGACATTTTGCTGCAACGGCCACCTCCTGGATCTGCTGGATTCATCTCAGCCTGGGCACTTGAATCTACATCTTGCTGCAAATATTTCTCTACATGAATTTTTAGGGATAGGGTGATGAGAAATCTGAAGAGATGTTCTTGTGCAGAAGTGATTGTTAGTAGCTGTTACTTGAGTATTTTTAAGCTGAGGGTTCTTCAGAGAGGGCATGAAGAACACAATGGAATGGGAAAGCAGCAAAGCAGTTTTTTGTTTCTCCTGAATCCTGCCCAGCTGTGTTGTCTCCCCTCACCTGATCCCCTCCTCTGGGGCTCCTTGTATCTCTTAGTAGATGTAGCTAGGAAAGGGAATCAATATTCTTTCCCTGGTGTTAAAAGTGAATTCTTGTGCTTCCTTGTTGCTGATTTTCATTATGACTTTTATCAGCCTTATCATTTTATCAGCCATCAATTAAACTGATAGTTTAATTATTTGGGGGCTGTATTGTAAAGCAGGCCTGTGAAAGAATCTGTTTTATGCAAAAAAACGTTTCCAAAAAAGAGGCTGTGTTGGCAGACTGAACAGATGGCAACTTGTAGCAGCCAGTAAGAAACTTGAAACTGCTTCTACCTAGCGGGGAAGCACATCCTTTAAATGAAAAATTCCATCCATTTCTGAAAAAGTGCTCCATGCTCTTTCTTCCAGCAAAGCTGAATTAACCAGCAGCTTATCTGGTTGTGCAGATTTTTGTTATGATCAGCAGATTTCATCTGAAAATGTTTTTATTGCTCTGAACGACTTCTTGCAGGTGATGCTTCTTTCCTTAGAACTGAAGCCTCTTTATTGTTCCTTTGACGTTTGTAGAGTTTACTCCGGGAAATATGATGATGAATATTTGTGTTATTTGGAGAACAGGAAGAGAAATGAACTTTCTGTTAATTTTGATCTTCTTTTCCATGAGCAGGCAGGAGAAATCCCGATGGGAAATCCTCCAGCAAGAGCAGCGGCTGATAGAGGAGAAGAATAAGCGCAAGAAGGCTCTGCTGGCCAGAGCTATTGCTGAGAGGTAACGGGCTGTGCTGCATGGGCTGAGCACGGGCAAGGGGTTACTTTTCATCTGCAGATCTTGGTTCAAATGTCACTTTTTCCTCCTCTCTGTGCTCAGTGTGTGCTGCTCCAGAAGTGAGCAGCTGTGAGCGACATCTCCCTTTGATGACAAGTGCTGGCTAAGAAGTTGTGACTAAGCTTTTCACACTTCCAAAGCTGCAGCTCTGTGTGCAGATGGAAAAGTTATTACACAACTCGAGAATTAGCTGAAGTCCTTGAATTTGTTAGTGAGATCATGTTTGGAAGTTGGGATGCTCAGATGCGTATCCCTGTTCTGTTCCTGAATTGGTTTTGCTGGATTTAAGGAAAAGTTCATTTGATTCCTAAATTATGATGAGAAACTGTTTGAGCTTTTGACTCTTATGAGCATGTGAAGAGTATTAAAAAGAGAAGATTATCAACTTTAATTTGAAGAAGATACCATTGTACCCCTGGCTGGTTAGAAATTATAGCACATGGTCTCATTTGTTGGCTCTTGCTCTTCAGGGGACCAGACTTTAAGGCGTTGTATAGTGATATAGTTTAAGACTACACAGAAGGCAAGGTTTGTAGGGAAGGATGTTGGAACAGCTCATAGCACTGGATCAAGGAAAGTGATGTGAAGCTTTCAGGCTTGCAGTGCTCTCCCAGACATGTTGTGTTCTGCCCATCAGAGCCCTTGGGTAGCACAAGTGAACACAGCCCATACTGTGTAGAAGATTCTCTTTAAAGTTCTGAAAATGGTGTTTTCCTTTGCCAGGCATAGAGAAAACACGAGTGCATTTGTTCTGAGTCACTGTAGGACAGCAAACATGGGTGTGACCATCAGGCTGGGTTCTTCCTCCTGGAAACAAAGCCTGAGGAGAGAGAAGAGGACATGGAAAGTGATACCTAGGGAGTTACATCTGACATTCAAAGTCCTCCCTCGGGCTTTCAGCAATACCACAGGTGTCTTTCCCCTCCATGTGCATCAGCTGGTCTAATGAGAGATGCTGTCACTGCCTGCACAACTAGTCTTGGTTTCAGATACCTACTTTGGGTGTAAAGCAGTGGCTGGGAAGTGTGAATTTGCTGGTGATGATGAGAGTCACTCAGCTTGCTTGGGAGTGAAATCCATCAAAGTTTGTGCTCTTAGCAACGTTTAGTTTTCAGGACGAGGGAATGAATAGGCTGAGTTGAAAAAGGTTACATAAGGCTTGATTGAAACCCTTTGTGTTTGATGTAAAACTTTCCATTCACTTCATTGGGATTTGGCTGGGCCTTTTGGGAATAATTTTGCAAAATGGAAATCAAGCTTAGGTTAGGTGACTTTTTGGCCCCTTCTAACTGGGCTTCTTTGAAAGGGGATATTTGCAGGGCTAAATGCCCTTCCCCCTCTCACTTCCCCCCAAGCCATTTCCTGTTTCCTTACACTGGGAACTACTTAGATACAGCAGCTTCTTGTGTGTTTCCACAGTGAAGAAACACAATCCATTTTAGGCACTTTGATTATAGTCATTACATAATTTTGCCATAGTCCTTTAATAGCAGGCATTTTAGATCCCTGTGGATACTGAAAAAGATCAAAAGCCCTAAACCATAAAGGGGAAACCTTCTGAATAGATCCTAAAGTTGGTTGCTCTGCAAATGAAATGGGGCCTGGTATGTCAAGAAGAGAGGCTTGAAAAGAGGGAGGAAAAAAGCACATCTTCCTTTTGCAGATCCAAAAGAACTCAAGCTGAAGCAGTGAAACTAAAAAGGATTCAGAAGGAGCTGCAAGCTCTGGATGACATGGTGTCTGCTGACATTGGCATCCTGAGGAACCGCATTGATCAGGCCAGCCTGGAATACTCCTATGCCCGGTAAGTGACAGGGAGGAGGGAACAGGGAATAGGGAATAGCTCTGTCTGAGAGCAGGGAGAAAATGCTGTTTCCTGTCACCAAAGCAGTAATGAAGTTATGTCATTGTAATAACGTGTAGTTAAAGCAGTAACAGTCTGGGGGGCTTTCAAATCTTGAGGTAAAAGCATGCTTTTTATTTCCTAATTTTTCCCTTGGAGTCTGGAAACCGAAGCAGGTTTTCTGACTGCAGAGTGTGCTGTCACGAGACATAAGTAGTGCCTTAACTGTGCAGTTGTCCATAAGCCCTGCTTTATTGTTTCAAGGTTGTTTATTTCTTCTCAGGGGGAAAGAGGTTTTTTCTTGAAAAGTCTTAAAATGAAAGTCCTTTTCAGGCAAACTTGCTTGTTGATGACAGCTCTGGTCCTTTTGGAATCAATGGGACCAATTAAGCTTAAAACATATAATACTGCTGAAGTGCTTTTGGAACTAGGACCAAAAACTGAAGGAAAAAGCAAGCTTTCACCCTTCACAATGTGCCTTTAATCACTCTGGTTCTGATGAGTTCCTTAAATGCAAGAAATTAATTGGAACACCCCATTAGTTGTGGGTAAGCCACAACATCAGTAGATAAACATCGGGATGTTTGTGCAGCCGTTTCATAAAACAGAAATGTTTGGTTGCGGTTTTGAGTTCACAATTCAATGTGTTAAATGTGCATTTCTCCTTTTGACTTTTGCTATACGTTGACCACAGGCCAATAAACATGATAATTAGTCTTTAAAAAATAGCAGTGGTAGCTAAAAAAAATGAAGATTTCTTTAGTGTAATTATAAGTTAAAATATCTAAGATTAACTGTAGTCAGAGTGGCTGATTGCATGTGAATACAGAATTTAATATCCTGAAGTGGAAAAACATTTCAGTGTTTCTAAAACCATTACATGCTCCTGCAAATCTCATACCCAATTTTTGTAATAATGTGTCTATTTGAAATGCTTACTGGCAAAAGAGCACAGAACACGAAGGGCTCTGACATTTGGAAAGCAGTTTTTGATGACAAGAACAAAAGGAGATGCTGGTAGGACAAGTGGATAAAATTTATCAAATTCTTAATGACTTTCATGACCTTAGTCTTTTTGTGAAGGAGGGACTTGGAAATGCAAGTTAGATACTTCCAGTGCTGTAGTTTTCATGTATTATAAGCCAAAGCCGATTTACTTCTAAATGGTGTCTTTTAAAGCAAATTTTTAGTTCTTGCCTTGTGTTTTAGGGCTAAAACAAAAATCGCTTCAGTGGGTCAAAAAGTGCAATTTTAAACAGTCCTGAGCACATACAGAGTTAGGGACATTGGCCAATCGCTGTGGAATTGAATTTTCATAAATAAATATGATTATTTATTTTCATAAATAATATGTGTGAATTCAGCCCAAAGGTTTAACTGCGCAGATGTTTCCAGCATAGTATTATTAGTTTTTCCATTTCAGGGGCCTGACCTAAAGAAATCTTGACTTTCCTGAGAGGCAAATGTAAAAATGGGCATCTTCTGCCCACTGCAGACACAGCCTTTACATCTGAGTCAAAGTTTTGTGATGATTATATAAAAGAACATATTTGGGAATGCTTTTCTATGTCTTGTTTCCTTCTGTTTCACTAAGCAAAGGATCCTGTCTTTCTGTTGCTTTATAAAACAGCTGGATGCTTTATTCAACCACCTTACTTACATTAGTTTTGTAAGTGCTCTGTAAGGTTCTTCATGTAGCCGTGCTGCAAAAACCTTTTCCTGATGAGCAAGATTGCACCTATCTGTCTGTTAATTAGAATGAATACACAGATTTACTGATGCAGTGGAAGAAGCATCACTAATGCAGACACCAACCATTAAAGTGCTGGATACTCTCTGTGTGTTAACCTCGATAAATATTTAGAATATTTCCTTTTTGCTATAGTTGTCGTGACAGGAAGTGCAAATTGGCAGGAGGTGAGTGTCAGGGGGATGCTTGCAATAAAATTCTACATCTGTCGCCACGCAGAAATTGTGATCACTTTTGATGTCATGTGCTGTGTCGGTCTGTGCTGCTCCTGATTTTCTGAACATGTCTATGGGTGGCCAGAAGAGTACACTATCCAAATGTCCATATGTATCCATGCTGTGCTCCTTTGAGCATCTGTATCTGTCGGGGCGTGGTTGGGTTAGAAGAACCCCAAACTGCTGTGCAGTGTTTCGGTTCACTGGGCGGGTGTTCATTACAAGTGTGAAAACTGCAATTTCTGATGGTTTCTTTCTGCTGCTAGTGATGCATCCCTTCAAACAGGCAGCAAAAATGTGTGCTTGTGATTCAGTGTATAGATTTCAGATGAGCAAGTTAACTCTTGGATTACACAGCAGCAGAGCCTGGAGTGTCCAGAGAAGTTTTGATCAATTCACACTTATTTTCTTCCCCTTTGCTAACGTAGCAGCACGTCGTGAACAGCTGGCATAACGCACGTTGCATTTCAGGGATGTTTGAAGCGTCTGTCTGTGTGTCAGGCTGTGGAGTGCTTTGAGAATTAACCCACTGGAAATGGTGATGATTTTGCAGGAAGCGGTACGAAAAGGCGGAGTCGGAGTACGTGGCAGCCAAGCTGGACCTCCAGCACAAGACGGAGCTTAAGGAGCACCTCACGGAGCACCTGTGCACCATCATCCAGCAGAACGAGCTCCGCAAGGCCAGGAAGCTGGAGGAGTTAATGCAGCAGCTGGATGTGGAGGCAGATGAGGAAAATCTGGAACTCGAGATCGAGGTGGAGCGGATGCTGCAGCAGCAGGAGGCAGAAGCAGGGAGACAAGGCAGCCAGTCACACAGTCACGCTGCGACAGCGAAGGAGAACCCCGCTCCCGGTGGTACAGGGCGGGAGGGCGAGCGTGCCAACCATACTGCTGCTTCTCCTGCTATTTCTGAACAGTCTCAGAACTCCGGGACCAAATCCCTCTCCAGTACGGACAGGCAAACTCAAGCAGTAGATGTGGCTTCGGAAAGCTCCCCTGCTTGTTCTGCTACATGACTGCTGGATGGAGATGAGCCAGTGGTTATGGATGATGTACTCTCTGCAGGCTTGTAGGTTATATCTGGGCTTTGGCAGTACCAGTCACATGCACTTCATTTCCCTTTCCTTTAATATTGTTTTCAAATTTTAAAGGTGCTTTTTTTTCTCACAAGACTCTCATTTGGGGTTCACCGTCTGTCATCCTCTTTCCTGGTTTGTGTTCATGTTCTAATGCCCAGCTCTTCACGGGCTTTTATACCTTCCTGAAACAGGACATTTGCATGTGAACAGTAGTGTTTTTCCAAAGATTTTCAGCCTACTGGTGTTACAGATACCTGTTCTGAGCAGGGTGCAAGAGATAGATATCTGCAGAAGAAAACACCCCTTGATCTGCTTCAGAATGCATTCTGTCCCCTAACATCTGCAATAGGATGTTTTTCTTCCTTTGTATCCATAAGGGATTAGTTTTCAACGGTTTCTAATGCTGTGAAACCCAAGTGCTTACTTTAATTGCCTTTGTAGATGATACTCTTTCCTCATGGAAAGGAAATTTGCATACTGAGGCAAATTGCAAAGTCAGTTGTAATACCTCATATTTATCACTTTGCCTATTCCTTTCGGATAATGCTGAATCATTACCAAGCTGTACATGGATAGATCTGTTATCTATGAAATCACATCAGCTATGCTTTAACAAAAATGATGGGTACAGTTTAAGACCCTACAGAATGTAGAAGTAGAAACACACAAAAGAGAGTGTGTTACATTTAAAGCTTCCATTGCAAACATTTTCTCTGTTGTAGTTGCCTCGAAGTGCCAACAATTAGCCAGGGATCTTATAGTAAATAATCTCCACTGTATATTGGAAATGAGCCTATTTTTGTATGACATTCAATGCATTTTCTTGCTGGAAAAGCAGGTTTGTACCCCACACGAAGTTCAGCTGGTTCACTCTGTTGCTGTTGAAAGGCTTTAAAGAGCTATTCCAGGTGGAGAAAGTCTCAGGAATTAGAAGGGGACGTAGGAAAATCTCCCATAGACTGATTGCAGCTGCAAACCGTGGGGAGTTGAGCTCACAGTTATCCGCTTTGTAACATGGAAGTGTGGGAATGGTTCCTGGAATACCTGACCTGAACGTGTCGGTCAGAGTTTATGAATGAGTTGCTGAATGACGCCACCGAGTATATAAATGGGACACTGATTGTCTCTATGGCTTTAACAGTGGAAAAACATGTCACTACATTTCATTTTTATTCTATTAATAAATCAGTGCATCTTGTACGCGGTGTGTTTACTGTCGGTTGTGATATCTGAGACTAATACGTGTATCCAAGACTGTTTTTCCACAGGAGGTGATAAATGGCAGAATCAGATACGTCCTTTGGCAACTCTCTGCTGTGTGAAAGTAAAACCTCAAAAAAGGCTGTTCCAAAACATGGAAATGTATGAAGCAAAGACATGGCGGGATATGGCTTGGCAGGAATCTCTTCAGCTAACTGGCCCAGGGCAGCAGTGGAAAATCTCTCCTGGTGCCTCCCATACACAGGAGAAAGTGGAATAAATATGTTTTCTAGAGAAGCCGCTCATAATTAGGGTTGATTAAAGTTAGAAAACTCCAAAGTAACATTTGAAATACGTATGAAGCATTGCTCTGTGGTTGCTGGTATACTGCATTCTCTGTTATTTTGCTGGAAGACCTGAAGCAGAGGATTTGATTTTATTATGAGAAAATTGTGAGTGACTTCCTTTTGCTCTGTCTGCAGTTGCAGGACAGCTTGTAGCAACCTGATGATGGTTTTCAGAACTGGATACCAGTAAGTGCAGTAATAATTTAATTGTACCATTCTCGTTTCCATCCTCTGCAGGTGTGTCCCCAGTTGTTCCTCAGGAGATTCAAAATCCTGTTCCTCATTACAGTTGTGTTAAGCTCGTTGGGGACACACAGCAGAGCTTCTGACAGAAGAGTTGAGTTGCAATGGTATTTACTGGAATCACACGCACTCTATTTTGCATATAATTTGTGGTTCTCTACTAGGCTAAAATGTGGTTAAATTAGTCCTACTCGTTGCACCTCGTTGTCACAGGTAAGCTTATTGTTTGAACTCCGAAAATGGCAAAAAATTACAAGTCCAAAGATCTTTTTGACGACTGCTTAAGAATATGAGTTTCCTAGAATGGAGTACGTTTATATCCAACAAAATTGCTTAAAAGCTGAAAAGTTCTTGTGTACCATCCTGATAGTGCTGGTGCTGTTTCTGCCTGAGAGGGAAGATGCTGTTAGAATCAGCAGGTCCTGTTCTCTGGCGAGTCCCTCGTTGAAGTTCTGGCCAGTTCTGTCTGCCTTTAACTTCTGAGCTTGCAAAATGGAGTGAACTGGCTGGGAGCCACATGAAACAGCCATGTGGGATAACAATAGCAGCCTAGCGTTTGGTTGCTCTTGCTGGACAGGGAGCTCAGGAGTTAAATTGTTTGATCTAAGTTATGAAGCCTTTCTGTGACGTGTGATACAAACCACTACCGTGGTGTCAGTTCCACTTTGGAAGTTCTCAAATGTTTTGATGGGTGCCAGTGTGCCGGTTTAACATTCCCCCTGTGCCGGAGCCAGGGAGTCCAGTCGTAATTGTAACAACATGTGTGCTGGTCAGAAATGCCAGGAGATGATTTTGGTGCAACAGAAGGGTTGGGTTTTTTAACTTGTTTTTCCTTGAAGGAAGGAGAACCGTTGGAATTGAGGCTCTCCAAGCAAAAGCCATTTCTCCTTTTGTAGTGGCTGCTGTGTCTTAAAGTGTTTGGATTTGCTGTCCCTGGAGTGTGCTAAGGGCAGGTGTGCACTGAAGGCAGGTGTGCTCTCCACTCCACTGGTGTGTTATATCTCTTCAGAAGAATAGAAAAATAAGAAGTTCAGCACAGATCAAGAATGAATGGGCAGATCTTTAGTGAGGACCTCTTGCACAGGTAGGGGGAGAAGTCTGAGTGTGAAGCGCGCTGGGACTGAACACCCCCAGCAGGGAAAATAGAGCAGCATGTGATGTCTGACAGTAACTGCAGGGCTTGTCACAGGGGACTTGCATTCTCCTGTGGCACCGTGGCCATTTCTGTGTTGGACCAACACATTAGCATTATGGGATGAACTGGAAAACACCAACGTACACCCCTGTGACAATGTTATGAAGCACAGTATAATTGTCTGTGTTGCATTTTGGCCAGGATGTCAGGATTTGCACTCCCTCCTCTGTCAAGGAATGTTTAAATGAGCACAGATGGTCATGACTCAGCCTGGGGTTCCCATGGATGTCTACTGCATGGTGTAAAACACTTGGACAACCCCCAATCTGATTGTATATCCAGCCAGATGAAGCTGGGCTCTCAAGAGGTTTGAGCTTGGGGTAGCTTTGTGGGGAGGGACTCAAGTTCTCCATCAGCCATTTGTCTTCCTAATACCTTTTGTGAAGCGTGGAGTCTTTCCTTTGAGCCTGGATCCCACCTGAACTGAGTGAGGAAAAACCAATAAGAAGGAAATGTAGTGACTGGTCTAGTGGTTGGGGGTACTGTGTTTCCTGACCAGCTGCATTAAGAACACGCTAGAGAGGATTGCTCATGGAACAGTTAACCTTGGGCAAAGTTCAGGAGCCAAAGAAAGGGGCAGAGCTCCATAGAATTCCCTCCCTTGCTGGGATTCCCTCTGTTCTGTATTTTCTGCTTAGGACAGTAGGATCTATAGGCTTTCTGTTCCTAACACCCTTTTGTAAGGGTTCAAATTTGAATTAGGCCCTTGGGATATGGCTTGTCCCAGCCTGAGGACTGGAGCTTTACCCCACCTTATGTGGGATCTTTGAGCATCTGTGGGTCCTGGGCCAAGCTTGGTACTTTTGTGTGACTCTTTGTAGACACAGTGTCTTGGGTCTCTGTGCTCTGCTCTTGTACATGCCATAACTGTGTACAAGGGTTCATGCAGTTACTGAGAGATAGCTAAAATTTTTCTGCAGGCCTGGTCCAACCCAGAAATCTATGCTCAACACTTTGGCATTATATCATGATCCCTTTTCTAATTCCATGGATACAAGCAGGTGTGGTGCATAAAGGGGCAAAGGGTTTTGCCAGTGGCAGTGCAAACAGTGTGTAGATGTGGGCTGGTATTACAGAAACCACATGCTTGTTAAGTGCCCTATTTAGGCTTGCCTGCATGGTCCCATTAAAGCGAGTGTTGGCTCCTTTGATGGGGCACGAGACTGGTTTCCTTCATCATTTCCCCTGATTTATGTCCCAGCAGCAAACTTGGTACAGCAGTGGGGAAAGACCAAGTAACGAGAGACCTTAGCCAAACCTCACCCCCTCGGCATGATAGGACATCAGATCCTTCAAATCCTTGCCTTTGGCAGCCTGTTAGTTACAGGGTTTAAATCATGCCTTTTAAGATGCAGGTAGAGACACTAAAAAGCTTTGGCCTTTCTGAATTAGGGCCTGGATTGTGTAGTTAGAGTCATTTTCTCAATTAGCTAAACATAAATCAGTATAACGAGGCACTTGGGAGCACTGGGCAGGTTTAGTACCTTGTCTCTCCTGCCTCTGTCTGTACCACTCCCACCTGCTTGTTTGGCTGATCAGCCAGTGATTTTATTTTTCCGTGCTGCTAGAGCTGAGCAGTGGGTTTTAATGTCTGAACTGGTTTTCACACCTGGCACATGTGTGCGAGAGGGGAGAACTGGGAGGAATTGCTCTTAGGCAGTAAGCAAGGCAGCCCTCACGTGTGGCAGAGGTTGAACAGCCTCAGCACTCCGTGGCACACCTCCAGGGGATGGGGACAGTGTCCTGTTGAATAGGCAGTGTTGGGTGGTGGCATGAGTGCGGAAAGTCCAGCAGCAGCAGGGATGCTGTTGGATGTGATATCTGGGAGTGGAAAGCACGTGTGGGGGCCAGGCACTGCGTTTGTCCTCTAGAGCTGGGTAGTGAACATGTGACTCCCTTTTCCAGGGCTCCACCGTGTAAGGGCTGTGCTGTTTTTTGGAGACTGCTGGATAATGAGTATGGGATAGCTTGCCCTGTACCCAGGTCAGCCCAGTGCTCTAGTGGAGCACTGGGATCCATTTCAGCAGACAGCAAGAAAAAAGCTTGGAGGTTCCTCACAGTAAAGAATGAAACCCTGAGAAATGGAAGAACTCATTTTATGCCTTGTGATGCCATTGAAGTGCATATAAATCATCCAAGGGGAAAGCTGCAGTGTTAGGGACATCCCTTCACTGTTGCATGTTTTAGAATGGGGGAGGATGTGGCAAGATGGCAGAATGAAGGAACAGTCACTGTTCCCCCAGACCATGCTCAGGCTGAAGCTGTGGCCCTCCCTAAGTCAGCTTTCAAGGCTTGGAGCTAAGTAAGACACCCAAAAACCACCCAAAACGACCTTAAATGCTCTGGGGGTGATAAAAGTGAAACATGAGCCATAAATACATTCCTGAATAATGGGCCTCTTTAACTTCCCCATGCAAGGTTTCTTGCTTTTCTTTAGCTGTTGGTAGTGCTGTCAGTGTATCTGAACACATGACTCTCTGCTGCGATCCTCTCATGTTCATGTGATCAGGACTCTTCCACAGGTATGGAGCTCGGTATCCTGCAGATGGTGTGTCAGCAAGCCATGTTATCTTGCTTCCTTCCTTTTTCCATGTGAAAGAGACACCCTGTGCACTACCACAGCCCTAGAAGACCATGAGTCCTTGGGCCAGCAAGGATATCCCACTAGAAGTGTTTGTTGACTGCATGTGGTTTGTCTAAAGAGTCACAAACTGGCTGTTCCTCAGTTGTTGGTTTGGGCAACAAACCCCCTGGAGCCCTGTGCTGTGAGCCTGTGCCAAAATCTGTACTGTGTATCCTGCCTGGGGAACATGAGCTAGGTAGAGTGAAACAGCTCTGTCTTTGCAGGCTCCAGTGACTGTCCCCATTCCAGTGTAGACAGATCCTGTGTCCCAAGGAGGGGTTAATGCAATTCAAACATCATTGTCTTCAAAGTTTCTCCATTTGCATCTGGAGTAGGTTTCTGAGTGTCACCCCAAACCCTCCATCATGTCTTGAATAGTTCTGTAGCTGTTTAGGTGATGACTGCTTGCTGATGGTGCATATTCCATTGTCTGTGGTGCTGATGGTCTCCCAGAGGTTGTGTCTCTGGCTTGGCTGTCGTGTGAGCTGCAGCTGGTCCCACGTTTTGGTGGTTTGCTTCATGGCAGAGAAGTTGATAGGACTTGACGTGAGGATGTGCTCATAAAGGACCAGGTCCATTCCAGCATTTTCCT